TTGTCATTGAGATTCTGAACAATCACCGTTCTTTCCTGACTTTGAACTTACATGGATGGTGGATCGTATTTTTCATTATCTGCAGAGTGGTAGAAGTTGAAGTAAAGTTGCAATGTACGCGAGGAGAATAAAGTGTAGGAATCAGAGATGGGATTTAGTATTTGGGCCATCCAAATATTTGAGCAGGCCGGATAGTGGTAATTATCAATATTTGAATTGTAAAAGTTTTTCCCGGAGTAGGTTTATAGATGACAATTCTATCTCAAGACATCTACTAGCTTCCTTGGGGGCACGAGGCGACTATTTTAATTGCCACGCTAGCTTGGATGGGGCTTCGAATTCATTTTATAAAATTGTTCAGTTACGTCGGTATAGTTCAGAAGGTGATGGAAGGAATGCTAGTGAGGGTAAGCAAATACCTGTAAAAGATGCAGCCGATTTTGACAAGGGAAAGGCTAGGCAAGAATTAGTTAGGGAAGATGCAAAACATTGTGATCTTCATGCTGAGCTTGGAGTGCAAGATCAAAAGGAATGGCTTAAAAGTGAAAAGCTTTCAATGGAGAGCAAAAGGCGAGAATCTCCGTTCATCACTAGACGTGAAAGATTTAAAAACGAGTTCTTGCGAAGGATTGTTCCTTGGGAAAAAATCACTGTTTCGTGGAATAACTTTCCATATTATTTAAAGTAATTCTCCCTGCTTTAACTTTCTTGTTGTTCCTTTGACAAGTATGCTATTAGATTAGATTAATGATTATGGTCCACAAATTTTTCTGGGTCTTGTAGTCACCACTCAAAAAATCTATTGGTGGAATGTGCTGCTTCTCATTTGAAGCACAAAAAATTCACTTCTTCGTATGGTGCTCGTTTGACATCCTCAAGTGGCAGAATACTACTTCAGAGCATTCCAGGTAGGAAAAATCTATTTCATTTAAGCAATTACGAAATTTGAAAATATTATATCATGAACATTATTAACTCTGATTGTCCATACATTGATTTCTCCTGCAGGCACTGAGCTCTATCGTGAGAGGTTAGTTAGAGCACTTGCCCGAGATCTAAGAGTTCCTTTACTGGTGCTGGACAGCAGTGTTCTCGCTCCTTATGTAAGAGGGGAAACAAATTGGACAATTTGAATCAGTCATGAAAAGTTATCTAGTAAATCATAAATCTAAAAATTTTAGCAATTATGTCATTGAACTTCTGATGCAGGACTTTGGTGATGAATGCTCCTCAGAGTGCGAGTCAGATGATGAGAATGCAGAATCCGGTGAGGATTGTGCTTCAGACTCAGAGGATGAGAATGAGAATAGTGCAGCCAACGAGGAGTGGACAAGCAGTGGGGAGTCAAAATCAGATTGTAGCGAGAGTGATGAAGTTGATGTCGAGGCAACTGCTGAAGCAGCTCTCAAAAAGCTTATTCCATACAACGTCGAAGAGTTTGAGAAAGTATGCCTGTGCACCCCACTCTGATAAAAAAAAAAGAGAGAAAAATGTGGATTTTATCGGAACAAAGCTCACTGTGTAGAAGAAAATTCATCTTTTACCGGTTTTCTAATTATTGTTTACATTCGTGGCAGAGGGTCAATGGAGAATCCGATGTTTCTCCTGAGCCATCAAATTCTGAACCTAGTGAAACTTCTGGAAAATCACAAAGACCACTAAGGAAAGGTAAGACATTGAAGCTGTAGATTCTTTCAGTTCCAGAATCTGTTACCTAACATCTGTCGATACATTTTATATTTGTATCATATTTTCCTTTAATTGTGTAAGACTCTGCACAGTATTCTTCTATATATATACATGTGCACATGTATGTATGTACGTTTTTATGCGTGCAGAGTTTGCATTTTTCTTCATGAGATCATAAAGTTCTCTGTTGTGATGAAATCATGAGAGTCTTTTATAGGGTCAATATTTCTTGAAGATTTACTTGGGTGCTGTGCTAGGAAGTTTAATAAAATAAACAATGAATTCTTGCTTTGAAAACATGATCTTGAAGTGCTTTGAAAACATTGCATTCAGATCTTTTAGGAGTTGGATCTAATATTTGTTTTGCTAATGTATTTTCAGTTTATATATTTATCTTTTTTTTTTCTTTCTATTTTCTTAACTTTTTATATTCTGCTGTAGGCGATCGAGTGAAGTATGTTGGGGCTTCTGTACATGTTGAATCTGATAAGAGGTGACCTTCTAACTTGTTTTCTTCCCCATTTTTATTACTTTTATATGAAAGATATCATTTTTTCTTATTCCCAAGACGAGCCAAGTATGTACGGCTTTTGGAGATATAGAAGAGAGATATAGGAGGGTTTTTTTTTGGCACAAGTAGAGAGCAGAGTGAAGTTTGGATGGCTCCCATCAATGATTTTTGTTATTTACCCTCCTCTTTAGATTTTAACCATTTGAAGATACCTGCTATAATCGCCCCAGTTAGAAAATTATATTTCATCTTTTAGTGATCTTTACATTTTAGATATTTAATTTTAAGACTAGCTTATTTTACTGAATATGCAAATAGATGTTTATACTTTATTGATCATACCATCAGTATTCAGGTTCGTGTTCACTGTTCATGTGCTTAGTTTCTTATTTTTTATACCAAAGTGTTTGTCTGTAGGAATTTCTTGTGGCTCTTATCTGAAATTAATGTTTATTTTTGTCATTTCATTGCTGGCATTTGGTTTTTAAATCTATGTGGTTGGCATTATTGGGGCTAAGGTAAATAGCTAGCTTCTAGATATAGATAGCCAGATTTCTGGAATGCTTGTTGGTTGGATCTTGATGATCCTAATAACTTAAAAGCATTCTATTGGGAGTTCAATGAAATTGGTCTAGCTTCTGAAGCCCTGTTGCTGATCTCCTCCCCTATGTGAACTTGAACCTGATTTTGAGAAATAAAATGCATCACAGGATCACATTGGGGAAGATATCAACATCTGAAGGTCCAAAAAATGCTTATACCATTATTCGTGGCAGGTGGGTTGGTAAGTCACCGTATGTATAGAATTCTGAAGCTTCCTCTCTTCTTTTTTTATTTTTTTTATTTTTTATAATCTCTATTTTATGCATCTTTCATGATGGTCTTAATAGGTTCACTAAATCCACAATTTTACCTGGATAGAATTTTTACCCATTGTTGTACAGCTACGTCCTGTTAGAACGGACCAATGATTCCCCTCCTTCCCTCTCTTTATAGAGTTAGAGGATATATATAGATTACTTTTAGCTTTTATTTTCTCTAGATAATTGTACACCCTTTTGGCTAGCTCAGAAGAGGCATTCAGTATTATTCTTAGATTTTGTTTCCAGTTACTTTTTTCTCATTTTAATAAATTTTCATTTATTATATGATGTAGAGCTTTATAGGAATGTTATATAAACAGAAATTTTACAAAAAAGTGCATTTTCGGGAAGTAGTGATTTATTTTTATAACTAACTGGCTATTTATTTAGAGGTGTGCAATGTGTATTTAAACAATTGGGGTTTTCCAAGATTGTCACTATTAATTTTCATTCATTGAATTCATTCACCAAAAATTGCATAATAATAATAATAATAATAATAATAATAATAATATTATTATTATTATTATTATTATTATTATTATTATTATTATTATTTTGTATAAAAGGCTTTTTTTAAAGAGGAGTTATTGTAACTACTATGGGTTGGTTCAATGCCAAGAGGCAATTGCAGTTCTAGAAGCTTTTGAGGCCATGGGTTCAATCTTTGGTCGTAAAATTTTTCTAGGATATACATTGAATGTGTTTCTTGATACCACATATTAGTCGCCTCTAGGGCCAAACAAGTGTTCTTTAGAATTGACCGAGATGTGATTAAGTTGGGTTTGGACACCACACTCTTTGGTCTTTTAAAAAAATGTAGTTTTCAGATATACTTTGGCACGAACCAATATATAGGCATGTATATATACCCTCTATCTAGGGACTAGGCTAAAAATGCTATTGTTTCTTTCAGTTATGAGAGAATCTCTAGCCCTCAAGGATGGCCCAGTTGGCAAGGACATGTGGTCTTGTAGTGTCACCTACCATGAAGTCTTGTGTTCAAACCTTCGGGTGAGTTAATACCAAAAATTCTTGATGTTTCTTGGGTTCGAGTTTGGGGACAGGGTGTCCCCGGTTATAGTGGTAAAATGCTAAATAGCTTCGGTTTTGGGTTATAAAAAAAAAAAAAAATTTATGAGAGAATCTCCAGTTACAAGGAGCTAGAAGTTTGGTTGTGCGAGTTCGTAGTCAGGAGACACCTCAATGATTATTGATTGGCAGGGAAGTTATTTCTTGTTTCATTCCAACTTGGAGACTTCTCATTTCAAAGATATGTGGGCAGGAGGGTGTCGATTGAATTCCAACTATGTTACTCTATTGTTAAAACATTCTTTTATTTTTCTACTCTCTTCACTTCATGTGCATTCTGCTTTCTCTTTCATGAGAATTTGGATGGTAAGGTACCTAATGAGATCTTAATTTTGCTTCGCTTGGCACTAAGGGTAGGTTTATTCCATGGACCTTTTTTAGAGGAATAGTTAGGCCAAGGTCCTCTAATGACATGAGATGGTAGAATCTTAATAGGTTGGGTGTTGGTTCTACTGATAATTCTTCCTTATATATCTTTCTGCTAAGGAAGAAATTTTGCCTATGGTTTTGAGCAGATTCCTTTGGAAGGTTAAGTTTCCATAGAGAATCAAAGTATTATTTGGTCTTTGATTCTTTGTAGATGAATACGGGCGAAAATATTCGAAATGTAAACCTTTCTTTACCTGCTGATTGTTCCTTACATGCTCTTTTTGGGTCAAGTTTTGGTCCCATTTCTCGCATCTCTTCGAACTATCGGGTGGCTTACCCAAAGCATATTGACTATCTTTTTCTTTAAATGCCTTATGGTTGTTCGTTGAAGGACGAGGGGAGGTTCTCATAGACAAAATGCCTTGTGGTTACCATTTAGGAACATTGGCCTGAGGAAGTAGAAGAATTTTAAGAAGTTGGTAGGTATTTTGTGGAAGTTCGGGATTTTGTTTATTTTATAGCCCCTCTGGAATGTTCAGACTAATGGTTTTGGTAATCTTTCCCCTTCTGTAATGTCTTTGTAGATAATTTGGATTATTTGCAATTGTGGTCTTGTGTTGTACATACTTTTCTGATTTTGTTGCGCAGTTACTTTCTGAGAGTTATATGCTGTCCTTTCTTGCGGTTTGTTCTTTGTCGTTATCTTACTTTTCTGATGGGAAATATTATGTCCGTATACTTATTTTCATTATTATCCTTTTTCATATTAAAATAAGTTTTCACAGTATTAAGTGACCTATTAGTTTGTTAAATAATAGAATGTTATGTTGCTCATGGAAAATGGTCATGTTTTTTTGGCCTCCACCTTGTTTGATTGCGTTGCATGTCAAAATCTCCTAGCAACAAGGTGAGGCAGACCTGTAGAAACAAAAGCCATGCTTATTTGTTAATTTGACCTTGTGCCAATAAAAGGAAAACCATGGAACAAAACTGCTCTCTTTCACATTCAACTAATCTATGATCCCGATTAAAAGGAAAAACAATATTAAAGTGTATTGATGAAATTGATATGTGGTGTGGTTTTAAAGCATGGTTTTCCATGTACTTGTAGGCCTTTATCAAATGGTCAACGTGGGGAAGTCTATGAGGTCGATGGAGATCGAGTTGCCGTAATTTTGGATGTCAATGATGTAAAACAAGATGGAGACAATGAAGAGAAATCCTCAGAGTCACCTCCAAAACCTCCAGTTTATTGGATACATGGTAATTTCACTTTTTGTAGATAAAACGGTCTTTTAACAACGATTTAATTGCACTGTTTCAGACCTCAGATTCTTTGGACGCTAAAGAAAATGATTATATTTTTTCTCTCACAGCTAAGGACATTGAGCATGATCTTGATACTCAGTCCGAAGATTGTGTTGTTGCAATGGAGGTTCTATCTGAGGTACAAATCTTGGATAAGTTCTAAATTTCTTGTTGGCATGGATCTTTTTTCTTAATATCATTTATAGGAAGCGAGACACATTTCATTAGTAGTTGTTAAAGTGCATTGGCCGATAAGGCATCAACACAAGGAAGGACCAAAGAATCTTCATTTTGGCATCAAAATTGTACATTAAACAAGAGACAGAGAAGCTCCATAAGAATCTTTGTACTGAATAGAATCCCATAATTTCCTATTCCCTTCTACTGAGTGAGGAAATGTTCCTCATAGTCTTTTGGATACACCAACTAATGAGAAAAATGATCTATTTATTTATATGCCTTATCGTGGCATTTACTTGTCATTTGATAGTTGCTCGTTTTTGGCAGGTTGTTGATTCAATGCAACCTATTATTGTCTATTTTCCAGACTCTACTCTATGGTTATCTCGGGCAGTTCCGAAGGCCAACCGCAGGGAATTTATTCAGAAGATGGAGGAAATCTTTGACAAAATAACCGGCCCTGTGGTTTTGATTTGTGGGCAGAATAAAGTTGAATCTGGCTCAAGGGAGAGAGAAAAATTCGTAAGCTCTTGGTTTTTCGTGAAAATACTTAGTCACTAGACTCTCTTCTTCTGAAAGCAACACTTACCAAAATTTCTTTTTTCCCTAGACTATGATACTTCCAAACGTTGGACGCATTGCCAAGTTGGTAAGGTTCTTCATACTTGTTGCTATTTCAATTTTTTTGGTTTTTCCAAATGTCACGATTATTTTTTAAATTATGCTAATTTAGTGCTATATACTTTATTTTCAGCCTCTATCATTGAAGCGTCTTGCAGAGGGGCTTAAGGGAACGAAGAGATCTAATGATAGCGAAATATATAAGCTTTTCACTAATGTTTTGTGTCTACATCCTCCCAAGGTAACTGAAATGAAATATCAGTCTTATTCTTCAATGTTGTCGTCTTCTTAAAATAAATAAGAATAGTTTTTATATCCTCTTTCCCTCGATACTTAGGTTAATCATTTTCTTAAAAGTTAAAAGTGAACTATTAACTATCTATTATGTTAATTTAGGATCTGCTCGACCTGTCACATTTATGCAACGTGACATTAGTGCTTGTCTGCAAGATGTTTTTAAAGATTAGAAAAAGTTTTTCTGACTCAAATAATTTAACTGGCAGAATTCCTGGAAGTTGTTGTAAAGATTGAGGATTCAAGTTCTTATTGATCTTTATCTTTAATTTTTCGGTGGCTTTCTTGTAACTTCCATTTCTATCCTTCTACAGGAAGAAGAAGTCCTCCGAACATTCAATAAACAACTCGAGGAGGACAGAAGAATTGTGATTTCTAGGAGTAATTTGAATGAATTACACAAGGTGTGGTTGTGTGAAAATCTTTGACTTGCATTTGATATGCGGGGTATACCTAAGTTTCTCTCATCTTATTGGCTAATTCGACTTACGAATAAAACCATGTTGCAGGTTCTCGAGGAAAATGAACTGTCATGCATGGATCTGTTGCATGTGATTACTGATGGAGTAATATTGACCAAGAAGAGTAAGATATAGCACTATGCTTTTAAGAGTTCACTTAACTCATGTCCTCTGATGTTCGAGTCATGGTATAGAAATACGGCATGAGTTTACCTTCATCCCTTTAAACTTCCCATAAAATTCTACGAATGGTTGTCTCTTCATCGGTTTCAAATTTTAGGTTGTTATTAGAAGGTTTTGAAATTGTTACATAGAAGTATAATTTATTTCTCTCAATTTTTACTTCACATTGAGAACTTCAAGTGTTTATACATAGAACTAGAAGCATTTGTACACATTAGGATGTATTGGTATGATGCGAGTTAATTGTTGTTTTGTAAATGTCTATTTCTTGTTTTTCTATATATCTTAATGACTTGAGATCAAGCTCTGACATTTTGATCATAGCAGATGCTGAAAAGGTTGTTGGTTGGGCTAAGAATCATTACTTATCGTCTTGCCTGCTTCCGAGCGTAAAAGGGGATCGATTACATCTGCCACGAGAAAGGTTTTGATTTTTATTTTTAAAATACTACTCCTTAACATCCAGATTAAGACTTTGACAGACTAGTGAACCTATGGTCTGATTATTATTGTTTCTTTTGTAAAGCCTGGAGATTGCACTTGCGAGATTGAAAGATCAAGAAACAACTTCGCGGAAGCCCTCTCAAAGTCTGAAGGTGTGTTCCTTTTATATGCCAAGTATTTTGAAAGCTGATCGCTGAAACCAAAAGCTTTATACATTTTTTTTCACATCTTAAATTTATACGAGACAGAACCTTGCAAAGGATGAGTATGAGACCAACTTCGTTTCGGCTGTGGTGCCTTCTGGTGAGATTGGTGTGAAGTTTGATGATATAGGTGCTCTTGAAGATGTGAAGAAGGCACTGAATGAACTTGTAATTCTTCCAATGCGAAGGCCCGAGCTATTCTCTCACGGGAATTTGTTGCGGGTATGCAGTTTTCTCTTCTATCTCTGTTTGATACATTTTGAAACAGTAATCATCACTTCTGCGTGCCAACCTCTTAACTTTTTCTAAAATTCGTCAGCCTTGTAGAGGAATATTACTTTTTGGGCCTCCTGGGACTGGGAAAACTCTTCTAGCCAAGGCACTTGCTACCGAAGCAGGAGCAAACTTCATCAGTATAACCGGATCGTCACTTACATCTAAGGTATGTCTAGGATATTATAGATATTTGATTGAATTTAAGGTGGCTCTGTCTGAGAATGGCCAGTTTGAATATTACACAAATATGTTCACAATAAGTCAATAACTTGGCCCTGTTGGCAAGGGCACGTGGTCTATGATTAACACCTGCCTAGAGGTCACATGTTTGAATCTTCATACGAGCTTAATAAGAAAATCCTTGATGTCTCTCAAGTCTAGGCCTTAGGGCGGGTGCAGGTGCCACCTAGCATAGGGTAGCGAAGCACCGATTTGGGGTAAAAAAAAAGTCAATAACGTGAAGCTTTCGCTATGAGATTACATGACTGTTCATTCATCCTTTTGGAGGAGGCTGTCCTCAGTTGTGCTATGTTCTCTGAATACGATTATGGCATTTTTCTTCTTCTGCAAACAGTGGTTTGGTGACGCTGAAAAGCTTACAAAGGCCCTTTTCTCCTTTGCCAGTAAACTAGCTCCTGTGATCATTTTTGTTGATGAGGTGAGTTGTATCAATATAGAGATGTTACTTTATTTGGGAAGTTACATTTTCGGAAATCAAAATTTATATATCATTTACAAACATGTCAAATGTACACCCTTTCTTCATTACTTTAGGTTGACAGTTTACTCGGTGCTCGTGGCGGTGCTCTTGAGCATGAAGCTACAAGAAGAATGAGAAATGAGTTTATGGCAGCATGGGACGGGTTGCGGACAAAGGACAGCCAACGGATTCTTATCCTTGGTGCAACGAATCGGCCATTTGACCTAGATGATGCCGTCATTCGAAGACTACCCAGAAGGTATGCTTTGATGTTGACAAAAAGTTAGTAACAAATGCACCCGAACCGATGTGTTGAATTAATACCTAACTTTATTTTATTGTAATTCATCAGGATATACGTAGACCTTCCGGATGCTGCAAACCGAATGAAGATTCTTAAAATATTTCTTGCACATGAAAATGTAGTACCTGATTTCCAGTTTGATGAACTTGCAAATGCAACTGAGGGGTACTCTGGCAGCGATTTAAAGGTAACACTAACACCAATGGCATAGCATTTAAAAGGAAACCGAATTGTTTATCGAGATTACCAAATATTATTCTTTGGATTTGTAGAACCTCTGTGTTGCTGCAGCGTATAGACCTGTCCAAGAACTTTTAGAAGAAGAAAATCAGGTAAATCCTATGCTTCTTGGTGTTTACCTGACTAGGGGTCTTCAACACACACATATTTTGTTTTGCTATTTGCTCTGTTGGCATGTTGGTGTTCGTTTCGATGTCTCATTTTTATCGTTCAGATATAATTTTAAATACTCGTGTATACTATTTTACCCAGGGAGGTCGAAATGACGGTGCTACGACCTTGAGGCCGCTTAATTTGGATGACTTTATTCAGTCAAAGGCTAAGGTATGGCCTCATATTTAACATTTCAAACTTTTTCTGCAATTTTTTGATTTGACCAAGAGAAATTTCAAGCGTTTTATGAACTTTAAGAAGTTAGATTCGAAAATGGAAACATGCTCTGGTGTATGCATCTCCCCATTTGTACCTAATTTTGTTCTCTTAATGATAACGGATTTTTTTTTTCTGTTGAAAAAACTATGTAGTTGATTTGAGTAATGAAATTCGAGGACATGAAGTAGTAGGAGTGTAATTAAGTCGGTTTAGCTTGGCTCATTCTTCCCCCTCCCCTCTAAAAAACATCGAAATTGAACCGACTTACCAATATATAAAACGTCTATCCATAAAAACATCTATCCAAGTTGAACCGATGGAGATATATTGCTCATCTCTGCCAGATACGATACCATCTTTCGGAAATCTCTGTAAAAGGGATCGAAATTAAGAAAATATTTTCCTAGTGATGTTTCTCTATGTTGTTGCCTTCCAAAAACTAATTAAGACAAACAAGTCTTTTGATTCTTCCTGCAATCAACTCACTGAAAATCCGTTTCGATGCAAACAGGTCGGACCATCAGTTGCCTTCGACGCGGCGAGCATGAACGAGTTAAGAAAATGGAACGAACAGTATGGAGAAGGTGGCAGCCGGAGTAAATCGCCCTTCGGCTTTGGAAACTAAGGTAACACATTTGATTAACTAAGAAAGATAATAGAAGAAGAGGAAAAAAAGAAAAGAAAAGAAAAGCCATTTAATTTATATTTATAACGGGAAGACTTCCCCATCCTTTTTGAGTTCAGTAGAGATAGGCTTGATCACTTGTTCAATATCTTAGCTTTTTCATTATTCCGAAGTTTTCTTCATGTAATATAGTACTATAGAGGCCATATCTTCCTCATAGTTTAATAAGTTATTTATTTATTTTAACCATGAGTTGTTAGTCTTTTTCTATCATTAAAATTCTCATTTTCATCCATTTTAAATTTAGGTTTAAATACTATTTTGGTCATAATATTTTCGACTTTGGTTCATTCAGGGTTCTATACAACTATTCTTCCAACTTTTGTTTTTTTAGTCCATGTACTTTTGACTCATTTTTTATCTAATTTCTTTTCTTTCGATCATAATTATAGCACGGACATTCCACTTATTAAATTTCTTGAATTGTAATAATAAATTTGTGTTAAATGATTTATACATTTTATCTAATATTTTTGTTAAAATTTTATAAATAGGGACCATATTGATCCATTTTTAGAAGTACAAATATCAAAATGAAAGTTTTGAAAGTAGAATAATTGAAATGAATAAAATTGGACCAAAATGAACGTTTTTAATGTATAAGAACTAAAATAGTATCTAAACTTAAAAATTGCTACTTGTACATCAACTTTGGTTGATATATTAGCATGTAGCTTTTGAGGAAAGAACGTCGAGAAATTCTCAAAATCATTCTTCAAATAATTTAATAGAAAATAAGAGGAAACGATTTTGGAATAGATTTACAAAGAAATTTGGTTAAATAATTATTTTATACAAACCGATCAATGAAGCTTAATTCAGTTGTAAAAATCTCTTGATCCAATGTATTAACTGAATAACCCTCTTGTTTACCTTTTTTCCTCAACATTTCCTCTAATCAAAATGACAAAAAAAAAAAAAGGAATTTGCCTTTAAATCCTCAATAGCGAAAGAATTGTATACAAATAAATGCGACTTGGAAGAACATGAACATCATCGCATATAAGTTCACGAAATGAAAAGATTCATAACCTAAGTTGCAGAGGTTCAATCTTGGAAACAATTCTCCCGTAGTGGTGCGTGTGTTTGGAACATGAATTTTTGTTTTGTAGGTTCTTCATCGGTGTGATTAGGGCAAAGGAAAATGCGGGGCCTGTCCATGTCTGCAGATTGAGCGTTGAGAAATGGCGACACGGCGCTCATCTGAGAAGCTCAAAAGCGGAATCGTCGGCGCACGATGCGGCGGACTGGGCGGGGAATCGGCGACTGTTGCGCGAAAATGATTCGTACGTTGGAGCTTTTTGGTTGAACTATACCATCAAATCTGAAACGGAATCATGAACTGCCCCACGACCTGCTCTGCTACCTCTTTCTCTCTCTCTCTCTCTCTCTCTCTCTCTCTTTTATTCATTCATTCATGAACCCTACAATTTAGCTTCTTTCACTTTCATATACCTTTCATTTTTATTTCTTGGTATGCTCTGATTGGTACTTATTTCAATGAATTTCATTCTCTGGTACCTCGTGATTTTTAATGAATTGAAATCTTACCGCATATAAAAAATTTCGAATCAAAGATGGATGGGTCTCGTAGGATTTTATAGAATTTCAAAATAAATTATCTATATAACTCATTAATAAATTTAGTTTAAAAGCCTAAATCAGTAAAATTTATATTTTCTTCTCCTTTCCGGCCTTCTCCTTTCAACATCTAAACAACAAAATTTAATTTACTTCATTTCAAATTATTCTCATTATAAGATAAAAAATTTTAAAATAATTCATCGAAAAAAGAAAAAAAAAGGAGAGATTTATATTCTTTCTAAAATGTTTTTGAAATCCCAACCCCTCCTTTGATACATTTCGTTTTCGGTTTTTAAAAATTATGTCAACAACACATGGATTTGTAGCCAAATTTCAAAAATCAGTACTTAAAAATTGATATTTCTTTTTTTGTTTTGATGACATTTTCAAAAAGTAGATTACTGATCAAAGAGATAGTTGAAATATAATATGATTTATAAGTTTAATTTTAAGAAATAAAAAAATCAAAAAACAAAATGGCTAATAGTTATCGTTGGTTCTAAAATAAGTAGTTTTTAAATATTTGGTTTTGATTTTTGAAATTTGGTTAAAAATTAGAATGTGTTTTTATCATAGCGAAGCAGAAAACTGAAAACAAAATCTTTGTCAATCTATCACTTTTTTTTTTTTTTTTTTGGTTATTTGTTGGAATGAGTTCTGAAGAAACTATACTATTACTGTTTATCGGCTACATTTTAATTATAGTTTTTATGGATTTTTATTTTTATTTTTAGGAAGTTAAATTAGATTTATTAATTATATTCTTTTCATAATTACTTTATAATAAATTTTAGGGGAAAAAAACCGATATTTGCTCTTAAACTTGGTAAGTTGGATCAAATTTTCACCGTAAAGTTTCAATTTCATCAAATTGGATCTTAGATAGGTGTTGCAATTTTTATCTTATATTTTATTTTCGCTAATTCACCTACTGATTTTAACAAAAGATTAACAATGTAAAAGTTTTCAAAAAAAATTCGTTAATTTTAACGAGGTCAAACTTTTTGGAAAATTAAGTTTGATTTAGGCACAAGATCGACTCTTGAATTTCTTTATCAAGGCTTACAAATTTCAATAAAAAAAAATCAGCTTAAATCTTGTATTTATCTGAAATCTTTTTAATTTCATATGACATATGTTTTATAATTCATCGAGAATAATTTTTTTTTTTAACAACTCTTTAAAAGAAAGAGTAGAAACTTCGACGCCAGAAGAATTGATACACATCCCGAAGTTTAGGATAAAATTTATTTTTTCCGTAAATTTTATATTAAACATTTTTAATTAAAAAATTAATATTAATGTTACAAAATAAGACTTTTTTTTCTTTTCAAATTTATATTTCTTTATACTCAATAAATTGTATA